TCCTTTCTCCAATGCACCAGCCACAGAATTTCTACCTCATTTGCCGCAGTTAGGAATGGCGTTTATCCCCCAAAGTGGTGGTCATCGTTACTTGAAGGAAAGGGCTGGTAGGTTTTGTGTAAAAGACAAGGGTCATATATATAATCAGAGTCTGGTGCTACAAATTGGGATGTTTGATTATAGATTGATTATTAATAGGACTATGGGGACAATTTAGGTTTCCTCAAAATTTTTATGCCAATACTTCAGTGAGGAGATATTTCACTAAATTGACCGAATCCCCTCATTGGGATTTACAATTCCTGGCAATGTTTATTTGATGACTTTTGGTGTAAAGGAAGGAACACTGGATACATGAGGTCTTCCCTCATAGCTGATACTCATGATTCAGGGGAACTTCAACTTCTTAGGCCTCGTTTTCCCACACAGGAAATAAAAAACTTGTACTAGATAATTTCCCTAAAGCCCTTTTGTGTCTAAAGTTGTTTTTCTATGATATAAAATAATGATCACTCTCAATGTCCATTCCCTCTTGGGTGATGGGTGTTTTCTACTCTCTAGGGGATGCCAGAACGTTATACTCTTTGGGGCTTGAATGTAATGCTCTTAGGTATGATTTTTTTTTAAGTGTTACAAAAAAACCCCAAAGTACATGGTTACCCAAAATGCTGGACCTAGATACTCTGTTACTCAATTAAATATAAAAAGAACCTTAGTTTAGGGGAGGGGGGCATTGGGTGAATGTGTGTGTGTTTGCTATACCTATTATACTTTACTGTCTCCCAATCAAAGCTGTTCCGTTCAAATGTATCCAGAAGCTGAAAAAGTCCATCAAACCAGAGGCAGAGAGTGTTTTTATAGTAGTGTTTTACTTAACTGCTTCCCCAACTCACTTTTTGGTTTCTACAAAACCAGTCTCTTTAGAAACTAAAATTTTAGTGCTATAATTAAAATTTGCTGAGACTTAAGGGATTTTTCCTACCTTAGAGGTACTGTTTCTGTTAAGCATGTCAATAATTCACCTTCCTCCCCACCCCACATCTTTGAGGGTGGAGACTCAGAGAGTAAATTCTTTGGCAATGAATAAGTAACTTGTTGCCCTTACCTATCCCACCCCCCCGGTGTTAGGCTTATAAGTACTTCATCTTTGATTCTTAAATTTTTTTAAATTTATTGAGGTGAAATTCAAATAGCACGAATTTAACCATTTTAAAATGAACAATTGAGGGGCATTTAGTTCATTCAGAATGTTGTGCAACCACCGCATCTAGTGCCAAAACGTTTCCATTACTCCAAAATAAAGTCCCATATCATTAGGCAGTTTTTCCCCATTTCTCCCTCACCCTAGCCCTGGCAATCACCAGTCTTCCTTCTGTCTCTGTGAATTTACCTATTCTGGAGACTTCATATAAATGGAATCATACAATATGTGACCTTTCATGTCTGGCTTCTTTCACTTAGCATAATGTTTTTGAGGTTCATCCAATTGCAGTATGTATCAGTGCTTGACTCCTTTTTATGGCAGTATAATATTACATTGTACGTATCTCCCACAACTTGTTTGTACATTCATCTGTCGGTAGACACTGGGTTGTTTCCACTTTGGGGCTATTATGAATAGTGCGGCAATGAATATGCAGCTACATGCCTGTTATTTGTTTGAGTACTTGTTTTCAATCGGGGGGGGGGTATATACCCAGATACCCAGGAGTGAAATTGCTGGGTCACATGGTAATTCTTATTTTAACATTTTTGAGGAATTGCCAAACTGTTTTCCATAGTAGCTGAACCATTTTAAGTTCCCACCAGCAATGTATGAGGGTTCCAATTTCTCAGCCTCTTTGCCAACACTTGCTATTTTCCATTTTTTAAATTATTATAGCTCATCCTGGATTCTGAATCCTGATTTCTACCTGCTTCTCAAATCTGGTGATCCTCATTTCGGTAATTCCCTCTCACTAGTCCCATCCTTCAACCGGATAACCACTTCTCACAGGTTATTCCTGCTCTCTCACTGAGCCTTCCTCCTTGTTTATAGTTCTCAAGAACGAGTCTTTACCCACTTAAACTACCTCCATTTTTCTTCATGCTAACAGTTTTTATATTTTCATTTATCTCCTTGCCTCCTGCCCAATAATATCAGATAATAGTTTCCCGATTAGCTGACAGTTCCACATAAATATAAATACCACCAGTCCTTAACCCTTAGCATAATGTGCCTGCATAGCTTTGAAAGGGGAAAGTTAGTAGTGGTGGTTGGTGGTGAGAGATATGAGTAGGGCTGACTGATAATCTCTTTCAAGGGTGGGGACTGTGTAATTCACGTTTTTATCCATCTTAACTCCTAGAGCAGTTATAATTAAAGAGCTCTTGAAACTGTAAGGGTAACAATGGTACCGTTTTCCCCTCTAATAATCCCTTCCCATATACTGAAATTTAAAACTTTAGAATAGTTTGTCTCAGTCAGTATTAGGGAATCAGCATGTTAACTAGACATGAATAGATCAAAGGAAGTTCCTTTTGCTGGTAGCTAAGTGCCCACAGGTGCTGATGAAGGTCATGTTCTGTGGTCACATTCATGACACACTGAGAGATAACATTCCATATTTCATACTATGCCCTAGGAGGCCAAAGACATACTGATACTGGAGAACTCTGCTCTAGGGTATGTGTTTGTGGGAACGTAGCTGTGGTCACCAAATTCTTTTGTCTTTACCAGGAACAAATGTCGCTTCTCAGGTACACCTAAAGAGATGTTATTGTATTAAAAGTAACTGGAGATGACAATGAAGTTTTAGTCTTAAGAAAATTTTAGTATTGTTTTTAATGATTATGTAAACTTGGATTTCTTTATAGGTGCCAAAGAACGTTCTGAGATCTATGAAGCATTTGAAAACATCTATCCTATTCTAAAGGGTTTTAAAAAAACCTGAGTATATCATTCAACATCTCACAGTATGTTGGTTTGAATATGTGAAAAAGCCCAGCACAGAAACAGCTGGATTACAGATATTCCATGCACATTTTGACTTCAGTTATTAAAGTGTGATTCTGTATGAGTAACCATGCCTAAGAAATGAAGAAACTTTTTTTCAAAATGATTCATGTATGTTATTTTTAAAATGGAAAAAGTAAACTTACTTCAGAATTTGAAAGATTTAGGGCCTTGCTAGAATGATACTGTAACATCATTAAAATTTAATGGTTTGCTCTTGTTAAAGATGTAGTACATTAACATGTGTTGTCTAAAAATACATAGCAATATATAGAAATTTCAAATAACTGCATAAAACAGGATAGAAAATTGTCTATTTTTTGCCTTTTTAAATGTTGAGTAGATGATCCGGGCCATTAGGTACGGGCCTGTGAAGGATCCTGTCAGAATACAAATGAAACATGGAAGTCTGAAAACTTAAGAAAAATTAAATAAACATCCTTTTGTTTGAAATGGTCAGAGAAAATTATTTCTCTCCCTTAAAAATAAATCTTAAACTTTCAGGAACCATTCAGGTTTAGTATAAGGTCTACTTTGAAAACAGTTTAGGGATTTTGCGCTTTTTGGGCGTACTTTTATAATCCTATGTAATTGTATTAAAATAGACCAGATAAGACTAAGAGGCTGGAGCAAAGAGCTCAGCTTCAAGACCTAATTAGGTTGTGGAATCAGCCGCATTTGATGGAGAGGATTAACAGGGAGGGATGGGCTAACAGGAGTCATGGCCCTTGTTCCCAAGTGGGCAGTGATTGTCTTTCACTAAGATGAGGAGACATTTGTGGGGAGGGAGAGTTCAGGGTTTTTTTGTTTTACTTTTGTTTGGGCGGCACCGTGCAGGCTTGTGGGATTTTAGTTCCCCGACTAGGGATCGAACTGTGGCCCTCAGAAGGGAGAGCTTGGAGTCCTAACCACTGGACTGCCAGGGAATTCCTGAGAGTTCAGTTTTAATTTCAGTTTCCCAATTGCTGAGTTTGTTGGTGGTCACTGTACATTACTTTAAGCCTAGTGTAGGCAGTTATGAATTTGGGGGTATGGAACTTGGGAGAGAAGCCCTAGCTGGAGAGAGAATTTAGGGCAGTCATTAATTTACAGCCTGCCAAAATAATCCTTGAGAATCAGTGGTCTTGATTATTTGACCTATGAGCCTAATTTTTTTTCTTCTGTAGTTTACAGGCATATTCAAACACTAGTTACTCTGATATAATCCTCCAACCCACCCTATTTATCCCCACAGAAAAGAAATTTGGAGTCATCTAACCATGTTAAATTCTACCTAGTTCAAATTCTTTAAGATATGGCCCAGAGAAGGGGTGGAATGCTAGACATAAAAATTTATTTTTCAGAAAGATACAACTTTGATTTACACGTTCAGTACAGTTGTTTCCACTGGTTAGCTATTATTGGTAAAGTACTTAATCAGATTACTATTAAACGGATTTACTTATTAATCCTTAGGTGGGTACTGAAATTCTCTCCATTTAAGTTAAGAACACAGGCTGAGGTGAGGAATTTGCCCCGAATTACACACAGCTATTAAGAAGGCGGGTGGGCCAAAATTCAACCTCGTTCCAAGACCCAGTTCCCTCACCCAACTCTGCGGTTGTTTTAGCCAAATTTAAAAGCATCCAGAGCGAATGACAGAAATTCCCTCATTCTGTTCCCAGTCTGTTTTCCCAGAATCCTTAGGGCATCGTATTACTATTTCTTGCACGAGCTGGAGGCGTTAACGTGTAGCCTGGGCGTGATTGAGCCGCTGATGACATTCTGTTGGGCTGACTCGCCCCTCTAAACGTAATTCCTGCTTCAGAAGCGGCCGCCCCCGGGCAGTCAGAAAAAGCCACTGCCCCTTCGGCCCTCGGCGGCCGAGGGCTGGGTGAGGCCGGGCGAGGGTCTCGCGGGACTCCCGCCGCGCTTCCGGCCCCTCCCCAGACCCCGCCCAGGCCCCGCCTCCTCCTCGCCCAGGATGCACCTGGTTGAAAACAAAATCCCACGTGACTGACTCTGCTCTCAGGCCATCATGGCGTCTCCCAGTGGGAAGGGATCCCGGGCGCCGGAGGCTCCTGGCTGCGGGCCCCAGCCCGTCGCCCGGGACCTCGTAGACTCCGTGGACGATGCGGAGGGGCTGTACGTGGCAGTCGAGCGGTGCCCACTGTGCAACACCACCCGCCGGCGGCTGACCTGCGCCAAGTGCGTCCAGAGCGGCGATTTCGTCTACTTCGACGGCCGCGACCGTGAAAGGTACGGCAGCCGCCACGGCCCTATGGTTTCTAACCCGGGTGTCTCCACCGGCTCGGAAGCTGGAGGCTGGGGCCTGAGTTTGGGCCCCGGAGCCCAGCGAGAGGAGGGGGAGGTAGGGAGGGTAACTGTTTTGCGCCGGCGCTTTGCTCCCAGGAGAGAGTCGGGGATGGAGGCCAGAAGAGAGAAGATCGCCGTTTCCCCCTAACCCACTCGAGAGGAGTCTGACCTCACGGTGCTCTTGGGTACTAGGGAAGAGAGATAGATGGTGGTTGTGGAGAGGTCTTCTCCTATTACTGCCATAGAGTTGGATTCTCGGTACTTTGTTCCACTCCAATTCAAATGCTGGGTTTAACCTTTGTTTTCGAAAGCACGTTTATTCTCTAGAGGAGAGACCAAAGGAGAATCAAATAACTGGTTAAGAGGGATTCGGGCCCTGGTAGCCTGTGTCACAGGTGGATCTTATCAGACATGCTTACTCTAATGTGTGAACTAGGCTAGCTAGTTCCTCCCTTTTCCAAAGATTGTTTTAGATGCTGAGGAGTTTGGGTATGTGTTTTGGCTTTGTTTTAAAATCCAGATTGGGAGCTGCAAGCCCTTAGTTGAGAGAATTCAAGAACGCGTTTTGGCCTTGTTTTGAAATTTAAACAAGAGACCTGCAAGTCCTTGGTTAAGATAATTGAAAAATTAGTGTGATTAGCTGCAAGGTCTCAGGCCCAACTTCTGTTTCAATAACTTAGTGTCAATGATAGTAAGCCAGCTAATTTTTTCAGTGCAAAAGTTCAGGTATTAATTAATGTACAACAACCCGGTAAGTTATTTTCTGTAACATACTGCTAAAGAAACTGCACAGTACCTTGCCCTGGGTCACACAGATAATAAATGTTGTGGGGACCAGAATTAAATTCCAGGCAGCCTGAACCCATATGCCATGCACTTAACCCCTGGATTATATAACGGCTGTATTTGGAAGTGTTTTTTGAGTTGCTGACAGTCCTCTCATCATGAATGGAGTTCATTTCTTTTTCTTTTGAGGAGATTTGTATGATACAATCTTTTAGTTCATCACTGTGTCTCATTGATGTACTTGATGACTTTAGAAACTGATGATGTAATAAGTAGTAGCTTTAAAAATTAATACAGTTTTATTATAAGAATACTAGGTATGAGATGGAAATGTCTAACTGATGGAGTTTATCATGGGTTCAGTTCTGGACCCTGTTCTCTATATACTTTTTCTTAGATTCATTCCCATAATTTAAATATTGTCTATATGCTGAAGACTGCCAGACTTGTATCTCCAACCCAGGCCTTTGTGAAATCAAGAAAACAGCTGCATACTCTGTCTGTATTTAAATTTGTAGTGAAAATCTCCATCTTAATATGGCATACTGAATTCATGATTATCCATCATAAATCTGTTCCTCTCATGCTCATTCCAGCCCAGTAAATGGTAACCTCACTCTCTGGCACAGGCCAAAAAACCTTCCAGTCTTCCTTGACTTCTCTCTTAATGCCACCATATATAACCCCATCAACAAATCCCATCCACCCTTCAAAACCTATCCTAAATCCAACCCTTTCACTCCCTCCTGGTTTGGTCCACCAGAGGATTATTGCCTCTTGAGTTCCTGCTTCCACCCTTTCTCCTTTATCGTGTAATTCCCATATTGCAGCCAGAGTAACACCACTCCTCCATTCCTCTGTTCACATCTTCCAGGGGTTTCCTGTTTTACCCAAAGTAAAAAAAAAGGCAAAGTCCTTATCCAAAGTTCTGTGTTGTCTGTTCCTCCATTGATCTCCTATTGCTTTTCCCTTACCCACTCTGCAATACCATCCTGGCCTCCTTGCCAGTCCTCAAACATACCAAGAACACTCCTGCTTCAGGACCACTGCAGTCTTATTCAGACTGCCAGGACTCTTTTCTTCTATAAGTCTTCAGGGCTCCTTCCTTTGATTCCTTTAGGCCTCTGCTCATACATTAGAGGAACTCTTTCTTTGGACTATTCAACTGAAATAGTAACTTCCTTTCCCACTTAACCTGCTTTATTGTTTTCCATAGCACTTATCACCGTCTTATGGTTTACATATTAATTTGTCTAACTGCCCCCTGCTCCAGTGATGTAAGCTCTGTGAGAACAAAACGGTTTTGTACTCTGCTGTATCCTCACATAGTAGAAGCTTAATAAAGATTTGTTGAATGATTGGGTCAATCTACCCTTCCTTCCCAAACTTAGTATGATTCTGGATCACTTCATTATTATAAATCACGACCCATTTGTCACTAAAGCCAGAAACCCGGGAGTTATCCTAGCTTTTTCCTTTTTTCTTATTCCGTGTATCCAAAATATTGACAAGTCTAATTTGATCTGCTCCAGAGTAGATCTTGAATCTGTCTACTTCTAGTCCAGACCGCCATCATTTCTCTCCTGGCTACTTATTAGTTTCCTTTCTTTTACACATACAGCTCCTCCCTAGCCTCCCTCTGGCCTTCACACAACAGCCACAGTAGAAATGTAAATCAAATAATGTCACTGTTTGCTTAAACCTTTTCAGTGGGTTACAACTTTATTTAAAATAAAATTCAAGCTCCTTACTGTGGCATATTAAGCCCCATGTGATTTGGCTACTGCCTACCTTCTAACTTTGGCTGTAAGGTTGAGTTTAAAATGTGGTCTTTGGATTCAAGCTGTATTGAATTGAATCCAAGCTCCACCACTTGCTATGTGATTTTGAAGTTTCTTAATCTCTCCTGTGCTTATTTCATTTTGAAAATGGAGTATCTAACTTCATAGGTTTCTGGTAGTGATTACATAAGAGCATGCACTGAAGTACTTAGCATGATGTCTAGCATGTGTTACGTACTCAAAAAATAAACGCTTGCCATGTACCCTCATGTTCACAGCTCAGTAGTTGGGCCTTCTCTCACATCCTCAGACACATGAAACTTTTCCACCTGTGGGTCTTTTTCCTTGCTGTTCCCTCTGCCTGGAACACTGTTCCTCCTGATTGTCACTTTTCCTTTCATGTCTCAACTTAAATGTCACTTCCGCAGTGAGACGTCCCTGACCTTCACTAAGATAGGTCCCCACTTCCATCTCTCCCCCCCCATTTCTGTCACAATACTCAATTCTTTCATGGTATTGAGCATGGTAAGTGGTGTTACTTTTTTGAGGAAAGTAACTGCATCCAGAATGTAGTTCCACGCAGGCATGAATTCTGGTTTTGTTCAGTTGGATCCCCAGTGCTTAGTGCAGCGGCAGTGGGTAGCACACAATAAGCAGATTGTTGAAGGAATGGTAAAGGCAAGACAACTTTAGAAGCTGAAATACAAATTATTTTCGGAAGAGGGATGTGTTATAGTGGATTTCTTTTTACTTTTCCAAGCAGAAAAGTGAAAAATAAACACCAGAACCATTCAAAATTTAGAAATGAAAAAGAAATTTTAAGGTTCAGGGATAACAGACAGCTTCACTTCACTTTCTTTCCATCGTTCCCCGTTCTGAACCTTGTATTCCTAAGGAAGAGGAGTTTGCTTGTTTGTTTTCCTTTGTTCCCAGAACAGTGCCTAGCATCTAATAGGATGTGAGAGTCTGTTGAGATCCAGGACCACAGTCCTAATGGTCAAATCAGTTTTACTGAGCTCTCATTGGGTACAGTTATCTGCATAAAATATTCTGGCAGTTACAGAAGAGAAAGGCAGGTCTCTGCTCTCAAAGCTTTACACGGACTACTAATAAGCCTTAAATTTCTTGGGCCAAAGGTTGATTGTGAGATACTCTGTTGTCTTCAGTATTTAAGAAAAATTTTGCTTTCAGACTCTTTTTTCCTTTTACTTATGAAAAGCTCCTCACTAACTGTGGGAAACCACTTTGAAATAAAATATGGAAGCTTACAGCACAATTTAAATACTCTTGTTTAACCTCTGATTCTTTTCAGTAAATTAGCCAGATTAGCTGTGCCTATAAGGATCTTGAATGTGATGTGCATATCAAAGTTCTTGTAAATGTAGATGTATTTTTTCATGTTTAATTAATAGACTAGCTGAATAAATAGTTTGTAATGGTTTAGCAGTTCAAGGAAAATTAGATATTAAAGAACAAATCTGTCTCCCAATAATTAGTTCTTTTGACTCCTAAGAAGGGAACATGCATCTTTACATAATTTTGTGGACAGTATGAGTTTGGCAGTTAGATTGAAAAATACCTGAATGCGCTACTTTTTTTGTTACTGTTCAGTGGGAACACTTCCTTATAACCTTGGTACCCTCCCAGCACTATCCTTTCCTCATCTCCCACCTTGGCCTCAGTCCGAAAACAGTGCCCACTTTCTTCTCTGCTTTTTCATCTGCCTTTTGATGTGTGTGCTTCCTTAAGAGATGAAGAGGAATGATTTTAAGCAGTACTCTCAACACAATCTCCTTTGGATCTTGTACTGGAGAACATTCAAAAATTACAGGTCTTGGACTTCCCTGGTGGCACAGTGGTTGGGAATCCACCTGCCAATGCAGGGGACACGGGTTCGATCCTTGGTCTGGGAAGATCCCACATGCCGCAGAGCAGCTAAGCCCGTGTGGCACAACTACTGAGCCTGAGCTCTAGAGCCTGTGAGTCACAACTACTGAGCTTGCGTGCCACAGTTACTGAATCCTCTGTGCACCTAGAGCCTGTACTCTGCACCAAGAGAAGCCACTGCAATGAGAAGCCCGGGCACCGCAACAAAGAGTAACCCCTGCTCGCTGCAACTAGAGAAACCCCGTGCACAGCAACGAAGACCCAAAGCAGCCAAAATTTAAAAAACTAACTAACTAAATAAATTTATTTAAAAAAATTACAGGTCTTTTAACAGGAACATAATTTTATGGATTATACATTTATCTGACACCAAAAATAAGACTGCTACCCAATAGATAACAAGTCGAAGTAATCTTTCCACTCAAAACTGAAAAAAATTGCTTACCAGTTTATGATAGTGTTAGGAGTGTTACAGGGAACATAATCTGA